GAATAAGAAGCAAACTTAAAGAAAATTTAAGCCAGGCATTGTACATAAACCTATAATCTCAGCCACTTGGGCAGCTGAGACAGTTACCTTACAAGTTTGAGGCCAGTCTGGGCAACCTAGTAAGACCCTATCTCAAAATCAAAACTTCTGAAAAGGGTTAGGGATATAGCTCAGTGGTAGAGCACTTGCCTTGCATGAACTACGACCAGGTTTTAATCTCTAGTATCGCAAGAAACAAACAAGTATATTTATATGTTTGAGTTTATTTGTAAGTTCAGGAATCTTTCTGTGATTCAAGTATTTTTGATTTCCACTGAAAAGGGGCAGGCATTAGAATAGCAGTGTGCACTATGGCCAGGATCTTATCTGCCTTTTTGTGGCAGTACCCAGAATCACTAGCAAAGAAAATTGAGTGGTGAGTAAGGCCTTGGAATTCTACTTGTAGATATAAATCTAAAAGAATTGAAAATAGGTATTCAAACAAGTATGGTACATGCATGTGCACAGCATCACTCTTCATGATAAACAAAATATGGAAGCACCCATGCTCACCAAGAAGTGGACAGATAAACAAGTTCAGATATAGATATATAGCAGAACGTTAGTCATAAAATGAATGGGATATGCTAACATGGTGCCTACAGATAAGCTTCCAAAATATTACATTAGTGAAATAAGACAGACAGAAAAGGTCATACACGATAAGATTAAATGTGTATGAAATATTCCGAATAGATAAATCTATAGACAGAATATAAATTAGTGGTTTCCAGGGACTGCAAAGAAGAGGTAGTAGAGAGATTAATGGGTGTAGGGCTTACTTTGGAGTGATGAAAATAATTTGTAGCTAGAACAGAGTTCTGGTTGTACACTATTGTTAATGTTCTAAAGGCCACTGACTTGTTTACTTTAAAATGATTAATTTTTTGTAGATTGCACCATGTTTAATTATTTTTTAAATACTAAGTGATAAAGGTTGAAGCAGTACTATATCCTATATTCCTATAATCACAACTGGTTTGAATAAGTTTACTCTATGAAGTGATAAAACAGGGTTTGTTATTATTGATCTTAGGGTGTCTTGTGAGGGCTGAGAATAATTTTTTAGAGTCTTCCTGAAGATAAATTCAGTTTCCCTCTTAAATATATTCTGTTTTACCACAGTTTTAGATTGTCAGAGTTTATTGATAATCACTTTTAATGGATAAGCTTCTGCCCCCATGTGTTCCTTTCTTTTCTATGCTTGCCCCAAATTTTAGTTAGTACCATTGGTCCATACAAGAACTCAAAAACTGAAAAAACATTCTTCTCTTACAACGTGTTCTGCATGTACAGTGGGAATATACTTACACCTATGTAGATGGAAGATTCTGTTTGTCATGCTCAGGATATTTATTTTGGCTAATTAATGATTTAAATTGGCTAACCACATTAACAAAATGATCTAGACAATTATAAATACTCTTTGTATTTTATGTGAGCAACTGTGAAGTTGTTGATATTTATTTGCACCCAATATGAATGCTAAAACTAGTGTTTTCCGTGGTTAAAACACCGATTTTTTCAAATGAAAAGTCTCTTAGATTTTGTATTACACTCAACTTTTCATACTATATTTTTAAGATTTCTACATATTGATACCCTACCATTTGTTAGATAACTTAATATACACATTGTATAAGTGATCTGTAATCCTTAGACATCCTTGAAAATGAATGTTATTATTTAATTATTACAATGAGGTTGAGTGATCTCCTCAAGAGTGTAAGTAGTTAGGACTGACTTTCTGATGCTTACGTATGTTTAGCTAGAACACATCACAGCTAGAATTTTCTATGCAAATTTTCTTTGGCAAGATTTCTTACACAGTAGGACATAAGAGAACTACACTCTGCATGTAACTGTTAGTTTGGCTTCCCAAAAGAGAGTCTGAACTGTTTGCTCACATTTCTCACTGAGCTTATACAAATTATCAAAATGTTTCTAGGAGGAATACTGGCATGGCTCAAGTGGTAGAGCCTGCCTAGCAATAGTGAAGCCCTGAATTCAATCACCACAACTGAAAAAAAAATTCTGTGAGAGTATTATATCTGCATTAAGGTAAGAGGTACACCAGTTTAAGATACATCAAATAAGCTTAGGTGATGGGGGTGGATTTTATAAAAGTACATTATATACATATATGGAAATAGCACAATGAAACCCACAAAGAACTATAAAAAAGAAGGGGAGGAAGGACAGGTGTTGAGAAAGAGGAATATAGATGAAGTAAATTTGATCAAAGTACATTATATGTATGTTGTAAATAAAAAAAGCTCTTTGTACAAATAATTGATGCTAAAAACTATTGGAGCACCTGAAGTGAATGTGGAGGGTCCTGAATATGTGAAGACTTAGGAAGATGCTACATTTTAAGGAAGGAAGATAACAAAACTTGTGCCCATCTAGGTCATTCAAATTTTTATTTCAAATGTCTTCCAACTTGAGAGTTCCCTTTTTCACATGTACCATCAGTATTAATTATCTTCTCGATACCTTATTTTCTTACCACTATGCCTTTTGTTGACTCTTCCCTTGCCCAAGGCGCCCTCCCTTATTGCTCATGATCTCACCCTTTCTGTGCTCCTTCTAAAAGGTTACACACCATTCCCCAATTCATTCTTTTTCATGAATCACTGTGTGTTCTGTCTGGATCACACATTTGCAACTTTGGACTTGGATTTAGTTTTATGTGTTTATAACTCACTTGAATCATTAAAGATAAATAATAATAATCTCATCTATTTAATCCTATCATATATGTGTGTGTGTGTATATATATATATATATATATATATATGTGTGACATAGACTGTGTGCTAATAGCATTTGTACATCAAATAATAGTTGATAATTTTATAATTCTCAAGGGCAGGATTTTCTTAAAGTAAATTAATAAAAAAAATTTCTTTCAGAGAGAGACTCCTCAAAAAGAATGGCTATTGATGAAATAATGTAGAAAAACACCATTTCCTTCCTTGGAAATTTCCAATGTCTATTTGCATTTTCAACACTCTGAGAAGTTCTTTGGTCATGAGACCAGTTTTGCTACTGTAAAGATGAACTATTTGAGTCCCCCCCATACTTTTTTTTCATAAGACACTTCTCAGTATCTCTTATTTCTCAAAAGTTTATTTGTAAGACATTGCTTTAGAGCATTTTGTGTGAAACTTATGCTAATAGTATTGACAAGTGTGGGAATTAAATTTTGATTACATGTAGGTTAAGTATTCTGTTTGGTCTGCCTTGTTCTGTACATGGGAAAGTGCTGCCTTCTCTGTCTTTATCTGTAGGGAAGTGTGGGAGGGAGTGTGCACATTGTGGGCTCAACCTGAAAATAGATTGAGACTGAAAAGAGAATGATTAGAACTGGTCTCTCAGCTTGATTATCTGCTAAAATCTCTATTACTTCTCATAATATGCTTGAAAAGTTTTATTCGTACCTCAAGGGCAATGAGCCTGACCTCATTTACAAATATGAGTGCAGACATTTGCTGTGTACTGTCTTCTCCTTCAGGCAGCCTTGCTAACTGTCAGCTCATTTTTTTTTTAACTTCGTCAGAAAAGAATATTAATTTCCTTGGATTTAGATACAGCATGGTTAATACGCAAGTTCAGGAGTCAGAGGGTTTAGATGCGACTCTCATCTCTGGCCTGAATAACCATGAGCCTGTTTTCTACTCTGAGCCTCTGACTCCTTATCTGAGACAGATTATTCTAGTCCCTACCATCTTCTTATAAGGACATGATAAAATATGCTAAGTCTAAGTAATATATGCAAAACATAGAACCAGGCAACAAGGAGGTACTCAATAAATAGTAGTCCCATTGGCAGTTATTTTTGTGTCAGACAGATCATGACAAGAGAATTCCAAAACTATAAAGTCACTCAGACAGAACTGCCTCTCTCCTATAATTGTCATTCCATATTTTATGTTGTTATTTCAAATAATAAATGGTGTAGCTATTCTTTGTATCCTCTTTTTTGAGGAGACTATGAATGGAATGGGAGGAATAAGAAGAATTGAATTATTATCTATAAAGAATTGTAACAACAGTGAATAAATAACCTGAAAGGGGTTTTTTTTTAGAAATCATTGTAATCTTTTGAGATGGAAAAAGTAATTTGGAAATCATCCCATTAGCCTTAATATCTGTTCATTGTTAAACATTATCCCTCATTATTTTAAAGTTTCTAAAATCTTGTTCTATAATATGGTATCAGAGGACTAGAAGTGGTATTTATAGAAACATTGGGTTGATATTTGCTGTTTCTTTGAGTAGCTAATTTTTTGGTTAATCAATTTATTAGACTACTGAAAGGGGAGCTAGTAATTGTATTAAGGCAAAATTCATGCTGGTTTTCAGGTTTAGTGTCAACCTTTATGTAACTCTAGACAAAGGCCCAATAAATTTTAGTTTCAGATTATTTACCACTATGCATAAAGAAGACAAAATCATCGAGTGATAATCTTGCTTATGATTACATTTTTAGAGGTGAAAACACCCAAAAGAAAATTAAAATGATAAAATTCTTCTCTATAGAATAGATTACAATGCTCAGCATAAATTGTGTATTTTAGGACACTATGACCTCCTTTTGGAAGGCAAGCTTATACTTGTTACATATTGTTGTCAATAACACATCAGTCATGGATATCTCTATCCATCCATGGCTGCACTGTTTCTAGAAGAAGTCAGTTGTGTCTCTATGAAGGATGACAAATGGGAATTTTACAGTGGTACCTACCTTTCGAAATGCCAAATTATATCTTGGCAGTTTTTCTTGACATAAACATTATGGATAGCTGAAGAAACCATCATTTTTTGTGCTTCATTGGTTTAAACACCAGGTGATGCCTTCTGAGCGAAACTGAAATGATAGAGGAAGCAATGAACCTAAATATTCCTGATCTCAATTTTGCATTAATCAGCATTTGTGTTGAACTGGTTGGTTACAGGAGAAGATGTATCAGGGAGTCTCTGCCCAGTACCTCCTCCTCCTGAACGGATTGCTTGTGAAATCCCCTGCCGAATGGATTGTGTAGTCAGCGAATGGACAGTGTGGTCAACCTGTTCCCAGTCTTGTTCAAATAAAAATTCAGATGGAAAACAGACCAGGTCAAGATCTATCCTGGCTTTGGCTGGAGAAGGTTAGTAACAGAAAAGGTTTCATCTCTGCATTCTATAGTTCAATGCTCATTGTTATTATCATTTCCAGTAGGTACCTGAGAAGTTCATATTGTAGAAGTAGCCACAAATAAGTGATATCTGTATTCCTTAAAAACAAACATTTTTGTTTTCATACATACTTTTTATTCTTTAATCCTCTATTTTATCTGTTTTGGGTTCACCGAGTCATATGAATTGTTTTAGCCCATACTTATGATGGCCCATATCAATCAACTGAATGCTAGTTTTGATTACACTTCTCAGAGATGAAGGCAAAGTTTGGTTGACACAAATACAGATTCAGATAGCTCATGCAAATGGGGGCATAATTGGATATGTCTGGTAAAAAAAAGAATTCCAAATTATGAATCTGGAGACCTGGCTTCTCAACCAAGAACTGTCAACAACATAGCAAGTTGATCCATGTGCCTTGGTTTCCAGTTCTGTCATACCAGCATGCTGGGATTTGGGAGGGAATATGAAAACTGTGAGGATGGCTTTGAAGAAGATTAAGCATACAGTGGGAATGTGAACAGTGAGGAGCAGCGGCTCTTATCATTCATAGCAATGGTCTCTAGCCCCATCATTCTTTTCATGTCCTCCCTTGCCTTCATCTGCCTTTGGCTCCACTGGAGCATCAGGATAGTGAGAGCATTGTGTGTGAAGAACATCTTCATAAATAAGATTCTGTTCGTGATCCTGAGAAATGGGGGCAGGGTCAAGATAAAGGAATTTTCTCATAATCATAAGGTGTAGTTGCTTCCTACTCTTGTCTTTTATATTTTAGAAAGGGGGAGAATGTCAGCAATATTTAATTGGAACAAAAATAACAAGAATAATAAAATCAAGGTTATAAATCTTGGGCACTTGGCTGGCTGAATAAAATATTATAGTGTGGAAGAGTGAGGAAAGATCAACACTTTAGGAAATTCTGCTTTTTACATTGATATAAAAATGTGAAAGAACAGACAGTAATGAAGTTTGATTATCTGATTCACCAAAGAGTGTAAGGATACACATCTGTCTGGTCTCCTTGCCAGTGGATAGCACGTTGTCAGATACTATTTCAGATTTTAAGGATGAGCTCTCTCCTGCTAAACTTTAACAGATACTTTTGGATTTCTTAAATTGCAGTGAAATGCACTGTTTTATGGAGGATGGGTTTCTTAAAATGGGTGTCTGAGAAAAATAATGGCTTTCTTAGGAAATGGGGAGTACATATAGTGTGTGTGTTCAATGTAAAATCACTGCAATATTATGGGCTATTTTGTCTAGCTGATTAATGTATAGAGCTGTAAAAATATTAGAAGAAAAGCAGTTTAATTTGGAGTTTATCTCAGAGATGCATGTTTCACAGATAGAGTCAATTAGTTTTATGATCTCCTTAATGTGTACTTCTGTCTGTTATTTAGGAAAGAAGAATACAATATGTTATCTGCAGGTTGTGGCGCAGGACAGAAATCCTTAATCTTAGAGTGAGAAGAAAGGTTCAGTGGCTCAGCCCTTTGGAACACTGAAATAGAAAAATAAAGCAAGAAGAAGAACACCAACAATTGTATTTTTCTCTTTTTTTCTATTTTGGCAGGTGGAAAACCATGTCCTCCTAGTCAGGCCCTCCAAGAATACCGTTTATGCAATGACCATTCCTGTATGCAGCTCTACTGGGAGACATCACCTTGGGGTCCCTGTTCTGAAAACACATTGGTAACTGCCCTTAATGCAACCATTGGCTGGAATGGAGAGGCTACATGTGGTGTGGGCATTCAGACAAGGAGGGTCTTCTGTGTCAAGAGTCATGTGGGACAAGTGATGAGCAAAAGGTATTATCAGCCTGTGACTGAAATTCCTTACGTTTTTTGCATAATTGAATATTTTCAGATGACAGAATTTATCAAGCAATGAATATGCATACATCTATGCTATAATAAGAAGGGTTTTTTTCTTGGTATTTGACCCTCAATGACTAAGCATATGCTTCAAACATAGGTAACACAATTATAATATGTATCACAAGTATATTTATAATAAATGTATTAGTTAATGCATAAGAGTAAGAAGTAATGTCCACAAACAACAAATGTGTTTGAATAATCAAACGAGTTTTCTAGAGATGACCTGAGTATTTGACTCTTCTCAAATAACATAAAGACTAAATCAACATATAGATAGCTTCTGCACTTTGAATTATAGGATTGTGTTTTACTCTCTTTAGACTCCACAGATCTTTCCTGTGGTGAGTAGATAAATCCATATAGTGATTTTGACTGGTCTAATCCATACTGTGTAATACAGTATTGCATGTAATACAGTTGCATGCTTGTTGTATTTTATCACATGGAGATATAAAACTTTTAAAAGGAAGAAGACAAAAATGTCAAAATGAGCTAAAATATAGAATTCAAAACAGGTCAAGAAGAATTGAAAGTGATGAGAGGAAAAAGGTAATTAATTGGAAAACTCAGCTGTGAGATTTTCATCTCCAAATGTGCCTGCTCCTCAGGTCCAAATGGAAGGCTAGGAAAAGAGAATATAGGATTCTATGCTCTGTTCAAAGATGGGGTGACTGAACTATCCACAGGGATTCCCCAGTGGCCATATTTGAAGGCCATAGCCCAGACACAGGAGAAGTGGTCCAGAATGACCTGGTGGAAGCTTTGGTCTAGTGTCATCAGCTTGGCAACTTAGACTCTAAGTTGGCAAAATGAAACTCTCCTTTCTGTTCATGATGCTTTATGCATGTGAACTGAGAGTTGTCACAGTGATCTTCAGACCTGGTGGAAAAGCAGGAGAGCAAGAGTGAAGCTGATGATCAGAATGAAGTAGACATAGGCAGAACAAATTCTGGCACCATGAAGCCTGTTCTTCCCACTTAAACCCCTGTCCTTCCCGTCAACGTGGGCAAATGCATATGCTCTTCTGCTTAATCCAATCAAATTTGTGTTCCTATCATGAGCAACTCAAACACGTGAATAATTTAATTTGAAGCAGCATGGTGAAGGGCTGTGCAGCCTTCCACACTGCCATGGAAGTCATTTTGGCGGTGTATAAGGAAAGTCTCAGAAGTTTCGTTAGAGAGGAATAGACTGTTAATGGCAGAAGTACTAGAGACTGGCCAGATGCTGTTCACTGCTGGTGTGTGAGAATTGATGAGCAGGTAGTTCTGCAAAGATAGCATGATTCGAGGTTAAGCACAGCCACAAAGACCTCACCCCTTTCTACTCCTAAATGTGGCTACTAAAAGCTTGGGTTAATTGTTCTTCATTGTTGCAACCCTAGTTTCTAGCATAGTGTCCATCATGTTGTCAGAGCTCCATAAATATTTCTGGAATTCAGGAATGAGATAGACATGTGTGTAGGGGGTAATAAGATTTTACAAGGTTTGAGTCTTAGCCAGAAGATTTAAAGAAGGTGGTATTTATCATTTGCTTCAAGAAAATATACTTTACCTTACATAATAAATTTTGGCAAAGGATGGGTATCATGAAGAGTAATGAACAGGTTGTACATATGACCTGTTCTTACTAACTCACAAATGTAATTTCTGCACCAGCATCTAAATTTTGAGTGCTTGTAATGTTTTGGGGAACATCAACTTTTGCAGTTGTATTTTTCAACTTGACTGGTAGCCATAGCACCACATGAAATGAATAGATCAATTTATCAGTGGAATTATAGACAATAACATTTTGTGTTACTTAATTCAGTTGATAATCTACTCATTGAGGTTTCAACTCATTTCAGTTGAAATCATATTATTCTTTTAATGGTATAATACAGACATGAAAATTCCTTTTATTTGAGAAGGTTGTCAGCCTTGATAATGTTTGCTTTTATGACCTAAATTTTTAACTTTAAAAAAAGATGCATGGAACATCAGAATGAATATAAAAATAAAAATAAATGGATTAGGTGCAAAGGTAAACCCCACTTAAAATATAGTAAATTATTATTCTTTATTGCGATAAGAAAATTTAGCATGTTTGAAATCTGTTCTCTTCTTCATTAACATTTTTAGGACCGAACTATGAGAGAAAAAAATCTACTTGACAGGAATGTAATCTGTTCATTTCGTAGAAAGCAGCATTGAAATTAAGACTGACATCTCCTGAATAAATTATGATCACATCTTAAAAGGCCTATTTGGATAGGAAAAATTGAGTCATATGTTTAAATAGCCCTTTTGTATCTCATCATTACTTTAAGTAACAGTTTTTTTTAATGAAAGTCTCTGAACCTATCAGTTTACTCAAATGTGGACTTCAAGGTTTTTTGTGATTTAAAAAAATCATGTCACCAATAGTTTATCTTTCAAAACATAATTCATACACTAATGTGTATTTGTTTAAGACTATAAAATATTACGGTGAATAACCTCCAGTTTTGCTATTGTTTATCAACACACAAAAATTAATTGCACAGATGTTTACCCTAACACATACACACATGCAGAGG